AAGACACTGCTCTGGACCTATTGCAGCAAATGGTCTATGCAAAAAATGAAGACCAATATGATCAGCTTTTTGCCTTGCTGCAGCAAACAGCAGCAAAGGGAGTAGTGGAATATTTCACTACCAACTGGCATGCCATTCATACAGAATGGACAATGGGATCAAAGTGGTCGTGCGGCAACTTTTTCAACTCCACAAACAACCGAGCAGAGTGCTTAAACTCTATGCTAAAGCAGATTGTAGAGTGCTTTAGTTCTCTGGAATTGTTTGTTGAGCGATTCTTCGCCTCGATCAACACTCAGCGAAATGAGAAAGCTCACAAAGCAGCTGTTATGCTGCAAAAGAAGATAGTAATACCAAATGGCGATGAAGCAGCCAAATGGTACGCCACCCTGCTGACTCCCTATGCATTTCGTCATTTAAATGAAGAGCTACAAGCTTCCATGACTGTGACAGAAAAAATCAATTCTGCTATTACTGATGGCAAGATTTGTACAACTGAAGATTGTTCGTGTGCCTTCAGGAAATCAATGCTGTTGCCCTGTCGACACAGTTTCGTTGTACGAACGGCATCCAACATGCCCAAGTACGATAAAGGACTATGTGCTGAGCGCTAGTTTTTAGATACTTATGTAGCCAATATCCAACTAAGAGAGAGTGATATGTGCAGTGACGTAGAGCATGTGCAAGTAAGCACTCACAGCAATGAAAAAAAATTGTCAGCACATCAAAAGTTCAAAAAAGCAGCTGGCATTGCATCGAAGCTTGCAAGTATGGCATCAGAATGCTCCACGGAAATGTTCAAGGAGAGGCTGGCTCTCCTAGAGACAATTCTCGACCATTGGAGAAATGGCTCTAAAGTTCATGTTACTGCACATGAGCCTGCACATCACTTGACAGCTGCAGTTGCAGCTGAAAGTGCAAACTCGGAAGGTTTTCCGGGGTCTGTTGTGGATGTACAGAGCAATGCTAATCAGAATTTACTGTGCAGAGCCTCGGAAGAGGCGAAACATCACCAGGAGCTCTCGGAAGCAAGCACTAAAGTCAGTGAGCATTCAAGCAGCCAACACTGCAATAGACAAGATGAAGCCAGCACAGATGAGAATTCTTTGTCGCAGCCTTCTGACCTTCAAAATATCAAAGTGCCAGTTGCTATGAGAAAATGTGGTCGTCCTAAAGGTCATGTGCTAACAGTTATTGGCCTTCCAAAAAAACGCAAGAGAACGGCAAGTCTTGGGGACCATTCTCTGAGCTTACAATGAGAGAGAAAAAGCTAGCCGTGCTCAATTGGCTGGTGGGGAAGCGGCAAGCATCAGATGCTATCAAAGGCAAACTACTTGACGAATAATCTGTGGAAGCAAGGCCTGAAGACATACACGACGGCATTCGAGATGAAATGGTTGACATTAACCTAGTACGGCGTTTTTACACAGACGATGCTTGGAAAGCTGTGCTAATGGTCCTTAGTGTAAAAAAGGACGAGGAGTGGAAGTGCACAAAATGCAAAACAAAACTAGATGACCATGATGCAGTATCGTGTGACTGGTGCTTATTATGGTACCACCTTCCATGTGTTGGTGTAAAACAGAAACCCAAGACAAAACTGTGGAAATGTGGCTCGTGTACAACCACTGCTACAGCGCAGTAGCACATTGCTTTTGTGAAAAAAGCAGCACCTCCATATACAGGGTGTCGCACATAACTTGAGCCAAGAATTCGAAAGTGAAAGGCACTTAGGAGGCGAATTGAACCTAACGCATACTACTCGCACTAGCCTGTAGATATTCACAAGCTGGCGAGTACCTACAGGCTAGGCCCCCTGATTAAAGAAAGCCCGTGAAATGTAAAAAGGAGCCGGGCGACGGACTGCGAGCGCACTGCTATAGTGCTGCTATAGGCTTTCTTTACAACATGGAAAAAATAACAGCGCTAGATGTTTCGGACAGGAAACAATTTAGTCGGTAGTTTTTGAAAGTGCTTTACATGTCAGTGTTCATATTTTGGGTTTCCAGCCCATAAATAATAAAATAAATAATTAAGAATGATTAGTTAATTAGCATGGGGAGAAAAACTAGCCCTAGTCTCTATAGGCTAGTGCGAGTAGTACGCGTTTGGTTCAATTCACCACTGAAGTCTCTCTCATTTTCAAATTCTTGGCTCAAGTTATGTGGGACACCCTGTATAGCTTAATAGAATTTCGGGATTGTGCAATAAAATATTTTTCTACACTTTTCTATTTTCTAATCTCACCTACAGTATTGGCTGGCCGTTAGAGGCAAAGTTGGAATTACATATGAGTTGGCTTTTGTGCTCCTGTAGAAATTCAATTAACAGTGCTCTCAACTTTCAAAAAAAGGTAGTTGTACTTGCTAACATTGGGATAGTAATGGTTTGCCACATGTGTTGCAATCCAGGTAGTACGTGCAGTTAGCAATGTTAGGGGTGGTAACTCCTACTACCTTTGCCTTTATTAACGGCATTTAGTAACTGTTCCTACCCTAGGTATTACTATTTACTACTACAGGTAGCATCTTCTAGAGATTTTAAGAAAAAGAAAAGTAGTAACTGATAGTACCCTGCCCATTTTGCCACATCATTTCACCATTGATAACACTGGTCAATTTATGTCTCATTACTATGCAACTTCCGGTAATTTTGCGTTGTGTCACCATCAATGCGAAGATTACATGGTTGTAAAAAGTACACTAATGCTACAGTACTAAGTAAATGACTCGCGCGGTCTATATTGCCCCTACTTTAGGATGCATGTCTGGCACAGGTCGGCACTTGTGTCTCGGGATGAATTATAAAAAATGCCAGCCTAGAGCACTATATCATACTAACTGTTTGTGTTTGGGTCAGCCGTGCTTATAAAAAATTATGTCGTTTCTATTTTATATAAAAGTGAAAGTTATATCTACAGCAGCCGAAACTAGGTACCGACTCATTAACACAGTCTCAGTGCAATTTAATGGTTCACTGTGCCAATATATCCGCTGTTAGAAAGTAATAGTTTCTGAGATTGTATAATAGTTTCCGAATTGTGTATTACAATGCGTGCAGCACTTGCTTATGGGTCTTTAACTTGAACCTCCTCATTGTGATAATAGCTGAATGATGCTTAGATATCTCTATTGCGCAACTTTTTTTTTTTATCTAATGCATCATGCAAGTGACCTTTTATTTTTTTTTATGTTACCAGCCCACTGCACGTGTAATTACTGCCTTGCACAAGCGCCGAGAGAATTCCCGGGAGCAGTCCAGATTATTTCGAGATCAACTGTTGGGCTTGAGTGCGCAAATGCAACAGTTAAGTTTCACTGCTCGAATAAATGCGGCCACCAGCGATAACGCTCAGGTCGCGGGTTCGTATTCCGGCTGTGGCGGCTGCATTTCCGATGAAGGCGGAAATGTAGGGCTGTGTGCTCAGATTTGGGTGCATGGTAAAGAACCCCAGGTGGTCGAAATTTCCGGAGCTGTCCACTACGGCGTCTCTCATAAATATGGTGGTTTTGGGACGTTAAACCCCACATATCAATCCATTTAAAGATGAAACGTTGAGATGATTCGTCTTGTATATGATACAATATGAGTTACTTATTATTTTAATTTGCATAGTTCATGGCCAGATTGCAAAAATTTAGAAACAATATCAGTTACTACCTATTTCATTCCAATTACTGGCTACTAATGCAGGTAGTAAACAGTTTGTAACGGTTGCAGCTAGTAACTATTTACTAGCGTACGTAGTAAACAGGTTGCAAAAGGTTGGTAATGCTTCAAGAAAAGTAGTAAACTTTGCAGTTACTACTTATTTGCTTGCAGACGCTACCTTTTTTACTCACTTTTTTTAAGAGTGTATAGGGAGTGCATGTTCGGCTGCCGTTAGAATGCTGACAAATTTTACGCTGCCGGGAGAACTGCCAGGAGATTAGTCGCGGCAGTTACTCACCTGACATACGAGAGCCAATGGGAGGAGACTGCCGGGTGAAATTTCTTTGAATAATTCTCCCGGCAACCGGGATAATTGTTCAAAAAAATTTGTCCCGGCAGTCACCTACCATTGGCTCTCACATGTCAGGTGACTAACTGCCGGGAGAAATTTTTTTCAATAATTCTCCCGGTTACCGGGAAAATATTACAAAAAATTTTTTCCGGCAGTTAGTCACGTGACATGCGAGAGCCAATGGAAGGCGACTGCCGGGAGAAACTTTTTTGAACAATTATCCCGGTTGCCGGGAGAATAGACACACCCACGGTGCAACCACAGTTAGCGCACGGTACTAAACAAGCGCGCGACTAAGCAAAAGCCACACCGACCAGTGAGGAGCACGCACGATATAAGATGAATGAATATATATACATATATATATATATATATATATATATATATATATATATATATATATATATATATATATATATATGTGTGTGTGTGTGTGTGTGTGTGTGTGTGTGTGTGTGTGTGTGTGTGTGTGTGTGTAACCGCATGGTTCCGGCTGAACAAGGCAAGAAACAACAGCAACAAAAGTCATTTGTTTTAGCAGACTGGCCGTTCTGCTAATTAGGCGCATCCGATGCTAAATTTCACCACTACGAATAGATCACGCCCAAAAAGGCGCTCCTACAACTGCCAAGAAATTAAATACAACGAAATGCTAAAGGCTCGGGCACAGTGGAAAATACTATTCTGGGAAAACCTGAGAATCTCAAGAAAGTACGCATAGTTTGCACGGCGTATTCCTTGCCTCTTCGTACTGCCCGCTCAGAGCAGATCGCAAGAACAGCTGGCGTTAGAGACGCATACAAGTTGTCAAGCCGAACTGCGGGCGATTCGAACGCTACAAATCAGAGGCGCGCCGCTGAACAAAGCTTTGACAGCCACCGTCCCAAAGATGCGCAAAGCAACGGCCCAAACACACTAGGCCTAACCGCCGTGTTCAGCTCCAGCAGCTCCCCAGTGCGCACGCTCCGGGGAGGCGTCCGTCTCCAAGCCCACTCACCCGACAGCGACGAGATGACCAGGCAGAATATTAGCCACTTTGACGGCATCCTCCACAAGCTGCACAACAATTTGAGGCTCATGTTCGCCGTAAGCTTCAGCGGTAAACACAGTCGCTGCTGCAGCAGAGGCACTCCGAAGGGTCCGGCGTAGAGGCACTCCCACACACGCACTCACAACACAGCGGCCGCCGCTCGATGGTCTCCGGCGATATCCGCCACTCCTCCCCGTGCGTTGCTTTCACGCCGATAAAAAGCAGAGCGCGCGCTATCAGTCGATGAAGCCTCTGCTTTGACGTTACTGATTCGTTAACACCAGAATAGTTTCTAACAGAGCGACGTTGAACTCATTGACGCCCCGCTTGCTTTGACGGAGCAACAACGTTTCTGTCGAGGTTGTGTCCTAGGCAGGAACAGGGAGCACTGCTGTTTCGGTGGCGGCCTCTCGTGCTGGTACTGTGCAGCTGGCGCGACGGTGGCGCGGAGACGGGCGAACGAGCTGCAAAGGCCGAAACAGGTTTCGCTAGCGCCGCCGGTCCTCGTCGCAGTGGTGTGCGTTTTGTTTGCTTCTGTACTGGAACAACGCCAGGGACGTCTTGTATATTCTTTGCGCCTTCCGCGCACGGCACAGCAGATAACAACAAAAACGCACTCTTGTAATTATAAGGTTGAATGAGTTGGTCTCAAAACTGAATCCTCTCCGATTGGGGCGAGATAGGCGCCTGGAGGATGAGCGCGGTGCAGCGTGTCATTTGGCCTAATTCTAGTTTCTTTTCGGTATCCTTCCCACAGACATCGGGGCATCAAAGAAAAAGAGCGGTCTATTTTTAGCTCGTGCGAGTAATCGTTGATCGAACGAAGGGACACGGAAAGCGGGCGGCGCACTTGGATTCGTATAACATGACGAACGCGATTACACGATTTGCCCGCTTTTAGGTACACCTGCGGGGACCGACAGAATTTTACAGCCTACATACACGCAGGGGTTGCCCTATAATTGAAATCGGCGGGGGAGCTAGGCATTATTTCAGGTGTCCTTGGCTTCAAGTGGGAGACAAATATTGTGATGATTTACTTCACTTTACATAAGCACATAGTAAAGCTTTATGGTAATCAAATCACGTGGTCGTGACGTTTACTATCGAGCAAGAGGAGATACTGGGCTAGTTGATGAAGTTGGGGGTTTATAGCGCGAAACACCCAGACAGACTAGAAATGGACCATTGCAGCACTGGCGTTTTACTGAATTTTTAGTGCAAAACAAGAACATATGTAACATATGAACAGCACCTCGTGACTGAGCCGACCTTAATTTTCATTCTATCAAAATTGTACATAGCGTACCAAAGCTTTGTCACGTGAACGCAATCTTGCCAAAACACAGAAACGCCACCAATATACCAAGCATGTAATCACAAATGGTCCTTAGTCACTATCTAACATGGAAACTTCGTTATCCAGTAAGGCAAGGGATGCCTGGCAGTGGTTGGCACACTGAGATTCTTTTTTATTTATAAAAAACGCCTCTATAATCTTTCTTTAGCTTGCCAGGATACTTGAGAGCACGTCTGTTTTTGTTTTTTAAAAAGTGGGTGGCATTCCCAATCGCCACAAGGCATAGACAAATGTGCATGCGAAAAGCCTCTCAAAGAACTGCGGAGTTCTACCAGCCAAATTAGTGCCCGTTTTTACTGACGAACGCATGAAAATGGAATACGCTATGGATGCGGAAATGTTGTAGCCCGTGTGCTCAGATTTGGGTGCGGGTGCATGTTAAAAAACCCCAGGTGGTCGAAATTTCCGGAGCCCTCCACTACGGCGTCTCTCATAATCATATGGTGGTTTTGGGACGTTAAACCCCACATACCAATCAATCAAAATGGAATACGCAAAATTTTGCATGCAAGGGAGGGCATGCTTCATACTGCATTGCTCAGAAGGTCTGCCTGGCATAGCTCCGTGTTGCTCGAAAACCCTACGTTTATTCTAAACTTAGATGCCACTGACTTTAATTTGTACGACATACGGAATGTAACAAAGCGGCTATCTTTTTTTATTCTAATTCAAAAAGGCTGCCCCCTTGATTTCACGCAGAAGCTTATTGCGCGTCATCAGGTGCGTAGCCAGAATTTTTTTCGGGGGAGGGGGGGGGGGGCAAAGGCATGAGCTTTTCTTTCTGGCGTGACTATCAGTGGTACTTTGAGTAGATTGTGTACGTACATTTATGAGACCCCTTCCTCCCTCCTCTTCATGCGTATGTGCTTTCGAGGAGAGCAAGCAAAAGTAATAGCAGTAAAAACACAGTGAACAACCGGTACAGTGGGGTCGTTTGAAGCAGTGACCTCTCGTCGCACCATTGAATGGACTAGTCTCCGAAAACCTATGATAATGAATCAACATTTATTGTGCCCAACATTGTTGGTAGTGCGCGCAGGCACCAGACGGGGCGGTTCCCTAGTTGCGGGACCCGTATGTATTCAGCAGCTCCCGGCCCCTGTCCGTCAGTGCACGCTGAGTCGGTAGGGCGGGGCTGGATAACAAGGTCTCCCATCGCTCAAGGGGTTGAGGATTCGGGGTGTCGGGGGGAAGGGATGGTGGGGGGCTCTTAAGTTCTGTGCACTCTGCCAAGATACGTGGCAGGGTGCCATTTTCTATGTTACAAAACGGACAGAGCGTGTCGTATTCCGCGGGTTACGTGTGGTTCAGCAGTACGGGATGCGCAAGCGATCCCGCCTGCGCTCGACGCAGGCGGGTCTGTTGTGTCCTGGTCAAGTCGGGTTGCGGTTCTGGGAGTCTGCACCTTCCCTCTCGGTACATCTGGGTAATGTCCCGAAAGCTGGTAACCGGGTGTGGTAGCTCTTCCGGCTCATGCTCGGCCCGGATTGACATTTCTCGGGCGTGATAGTCGGCAATGGTGTTGCCTGCTACCTGCGAGTGAGCCGGGACCCACACGAGCTCTACGGCTCTTCCCGGATGCTTGCATTTGGATAGAATGGCTCATGCCACGGATGAGATTACTCCCCTGCGGAAGCTTCCATAGGCTGTCTCCGAATCGGTGACCACTGTGTCCACGCTCGGCTGTGTTAGTACGAGTGCCACAGCCACTTCCTCGGCAATTGCAGGGTCTTTTGTCCTCAGGGACGCGCTGACGATTAGCCTGTCAATGGAAGTAACCACTACCGCAACATGGTCACTGTGTTTTCGGAGTGAGGCGTCCGCGTACATCACCCTGGGGTTCTCTTCCAGCTTCCGGGCCATGGCTTTGGCCTGCGCGGTGCGCCTCTCGTCGTCCTTGCCCGGCGTCATGTTCCGGGGAAGGGATTTCATTTGAATTGTTGTCTTCCAGTCCTCTGGAAGGGCCGCCTTGATGGGTACTGGCTAGATCTGCCATCCCATCTTGCGTAGGACAGCTTGTCCGTGCTCCGTGTGACCGAAAACGCACGCATCATTGCGACGACCCGCCTGAACGGAGAAGGCATCGTTAATCGTTCATATCTGTTAAGCGTGATGGCGTGTTCCTCGACAGGGCGAAGTGCGTTTCCCAAGTCAAGGACGGGTCCTCTCACAACGTGGAATGAGAGTGACTGCATGCATATTAGAATGATTTTGATGTTCAGCTCCATATGTCAAGCAGCCTTGACGCAGTGATAGCGCTTAGTCATTTTTTTAGTTTAATGCACGCATTCACACATGCTTGCGATAGGCCTTAAGTTTTTTTGTTGTTTTTTTTGCAAATTATGCTGCACGTTGGATGATTTCGAACGCGTTATTTTTCAGGCAGACCTCATCGCAACCATTGTTGACATTACAGTTGCACTGTGACTTTTGATATGAATGAAGTACTCCAAGCCCCGAGGTTTTATCGGGCAATCTGCGAGGGCAAGGTAATTGTTGAAAAATGTTCACTTAGTCTCAATTGAATATGCACCTGGGATCAGACTGTATACCTACTCACATAAGAATAGCTGTTCACTGCGTGTGCTAGAAAACCTAAATACGCGCAAGTATACGTAAGGTTCTGTTTTTCTATTTTGTAGCTTTCATTGCTTTGTTCCTGAAATTACAGCGTTGCGGCAAGGTCTCGTCCATTGTTTGCAAGCGTGCAGTCGTCCTTTCTTTTTACGTCCACAGATTGAGAAACGTACAGAATTTTTGACCGCGCAGCGTCGATATGCCATACGATATGCTATGTATACACTGATTTAACTAGATTGTACATTCATGTTTGCAGAATTTACGCCGACGCGAACAGGAGCAGCCTCGTACCACACAAAGTTTCGCGTGTTAACTTCACTAGTGATGAAGGAATGAACCCCGGTCTTATTGAGAGCATAGTACACCATAATCAATTTCTCTGAACGCGTGAACTCCTACCAGAGCTGCCAGCGAATGTAACACGAGTTTACTTACGCTTTACTGTGCACCATCCGTGCCTGTTGGTTGACTGTTTACGGGAATTATGATGCGAGTCACTAGAATTTCACTGTGGCATCAACTCCTACGCGTTAATTCACGTTTGTGATGTGGGATCACAACGAAACACAAACTACCAGCCTTTTCTATGGGCGCAATCACAAACGCGAGACGTTTCGTGCGCAGAGTTACTGTGAGCGCGACCTCACGGGCACCTGAAAGGAAGCGGAGGAAATGTACAGCTGCGAATCTTTCGCCCAGGGGAGAAGCGAGCGCTAGTGTTTAAGGTGGAACTTTACCAGCCGACATGTACCGTCGGTGTCACTGCCCAAACTTTGCTGAGCGCATGACTTCCTAGCAATGCGAAGTTACCGCCCCGCAGCGGTGATCTAGTGGCTATAGTACTCGACTGCTGACCCGCAGGTCGCGGTATTGAATCCCTGCTACGGCGGCTGCGTTTCGGATGGAGGTGGAAGTTTTGTAGGCCTGTGTGCTCAAATTTGGGTACACGTTAAAAAACCCCTGGTGGTCGAAACTTTCGGAGCACTCCGCTACGACGTCTCATAATCATATGGTGGTTTTAGGACGTTAAACCCCACATATCAATCAATCAATGCGAAGTCACCCACTTGAAATACGTCCTCTGCACGCATTGCTAGGTATAATTTGTGTTTTGTGTAAATCAGCGTCCCTCTATGAGACTCGATAGCCGCGATTGAGTACACTCTAGCCGCGCCGTAAGGTAACGCTTGATGATAATTTCTCGAAAGGCAAACTGCAAGTGCACACACGACAACTGGTGGGAAAACTACATCAGCTGAAAAAAAAAACGGTTTACAGCTGTAATTCTGCACTGCCTGAATACAACTCATGTGCTGCAAAAACTTCTGCAAACCGATCAGAGCATGCTGCACGCACGGAAACCGTGATTCCTGACGACCTTGGTTCTTACGTGTTTAACGGACCAAAACACAAGAAGTTGCAGTAAGACGAGTCTAGACAACGTTTGCTAATGACGACA